AGAGTCGGGATAGTCGTAATTGGAACGAAGCTTCAATTTTTCATCCCGGCTTCACCTATACCATATAATGTTCGCAGGAGAGCCAAAGAGCATGAGAAATTGGCGAAATTCGCCGCCAACTTGTACAAAACTGTAAGAGGACTCACCGCATTGAATCCGCTGTACGTGTTCTCGGCGGAAGCTTTCACTGATATTTATTTAGAGGCGGAAGATTACAGGAGATCGATATTGTCCCAAGACAAAAGGGAACAAGACAGGCTGATCGAGAAACGGTTGGTACGAGTTCCCCGAGGAAGTAGCTGTTCGTTGAAGTGATGAAAATTTTAAACGAGACTTTTCAAACTTGGGTGCTTTACTTTAAAATTACAATTTATCACAGCTAAGTGTTTCAACAGTAATAATTGTAGTTACTTTAAACATTTTTATATAAACGATTTTTTAATGTTCGTTGTTAATTCTCGAACAATATCATTCAATTTGGTTACGAATGATCGTAATAAACAATTTTCGACATTCTGTTTCATCTTAAAAGAAAAAAATTCCTTCAATTTAAAAAGACTTGAAATTCGAAAATTCAACGATCCAGCCGTGAGTTGTTATATTTTTCGCTTTCGAAATAACAAGAACGACGTGATTTCTTGAATTAGTCGCCTCCGTCGATTCCGTTCGAGAAACTTTCAGACTTACGAGGCTTCGTGCAACTCGTATTGCAGGCTGACAGCTTTAACTCTTCATCATTGCTCGAGGGCTGTGTACAGGGAACATCGATTACCAATCGCGTTACAATTGGCGCTTTCGTTGAACTCCGTGCCAGACGTCGAGAGGAATTTCTTATTAGGCGAAGTCCCATTAAACGGCGACGAGGATACCGACTACAAAATACCTGATTGGGTGCCGGAAGAGAGGCGTTTATCAGTCCGGGCGTTAGCCTCGTCGTTCCCGCAAGTGAGTTGTTAAATTGTCTATTTGTAAAGTGGCGTTATCGAACTGTGAAATTCCCTTGAAACTCGCACAGGTAACTGCGAGGATGAAGCAATCCTGGTTGAACGATGTGAACAACATTTACGCGGAGAGCAATTTAACTACGTTCCAAAAAATTCTACTGATAAAGACCCTACGTCCGGACTATCTGCACACGGCTCTCTCGAAACTGGCTGCCGAAGTACTAGGTAATCTTCTGTTAATAAATTCAACAATGATAGAGAAATAAAAGATCTAACGACGAATTTCAGATTTCCTTTCTTTTTTTTTTTCTGCAATTATTCGAGAGATACGTAAACAAAATTAACGTTGATTTCTTTTTATTTTAACTATTATCGTTTTTTATTTGTCTGATTATAATATTTTGATATGTATCAAAGGCCGTTTTGTTTCTGACGTTGTTAATGACATTTTGCTTCTCTTAAGCAATATTTAAATTGAGTGTATTATTATTTAACACAAATGCTCCTTCTAGATGTCTCGGGGATTTTCCTCTCCTTAGATCCGGGATTTACAAAAGAAATTAAACTCAAGCAATTCGACCCTGCATCCATGGTTTTTCTTTTTTTTTTTTTTTTTTAAATGCCGCGCATTAACATTTTTCATCATATATTGTTTTGTTTTACTTTATTTCACTGTCATCGTCTCTTCAATTTCTTCTCATAGACCTTTCATTTCCTCAACAGTCCTCCCTGTTCAATAAATAAATAAATGCTTGTCGAAGCGTCTCGATCGATAAACGATTTGAAAATTTCCTCTCGAAAAATCAAAAAGTCGATAGAATTATTTAAGAAATATTGCTTAAAGAGTCACGAAGGAATCATTTGCATTCCTGATGAGAATATAATCAATACTTTGCACTACTTTGAAATGTCTTACCTTCTCTTACCTTATAATCTTTCTCTCTCTCTCTCTCTCCCTGGAAAGGCGTGAAAGATTTGGCGCCACCGCACTGGTCCCTGAGAAAGGTAGCCGAGAACGAAGCTACATATCCCGTGCTGTTACTTCTGTCACCGGGAGCTGATCCCGGTTCTGAGCTGAGAGCATTAGCCAGTAATCGGGTCGCATCGGCCACAGGATTCGTCGAAGTGTCTCTCGGACAGGGTCAAGTTGCTCAGGCGGAACTGTCGCTTGAGAATGCTTGCCGGTAAATTGTACCTTTCTCTCTCGGCTGTATGAAATCGAAATTCCAAGCTACGAGCTTCTATGTTGCACACAACATTTTCATTCTCAATTTTTCTCATCAGATTTGATAGATATGAAATGAGAGATTGATATTGGATTGTGATTTGAAATCATGATTTATCATCAGGACGCGGATATCACACGCATTTGGAAAGCTTTTCGTCAACATTACTATATAGAGAAGAAACAGAACCTGAGAGAACTTTCTTTTATTTCATCACGTATTATAATTGGGCTGAGGATCTTCATGCATTTGTGGAAAATTTGAAGATGCACGCGATGTGCAAAAAATATCCAATAAAGGATGTTAATTGTAATTCTGTGTAGAAGAAACGATCGTTTAGATTCATTTTTTTAATTATATTCATAATTGAAGCAATCGTAGTCTAAGTATAATACGCTCTACTTTGGATATTTCATATATAATATGCATTGTGCACACATCGCTATAAATCTCAGTTCTCCAAAAATGCGTAAAATCCTAATGGCTGCATTTCACTTATTCTATCTTACAACGTTATTCGTTCTGTTTTACATTAAATTCTGAAAATTCGAAAAGTAAGAGAAGGTCGACAAGTCGCGAGGGTTGATAATTTCATTACAATACTATCACAGAATTAGACGATAAAAGTACAGCAAGAACATCAGCGAAGATTATGGCTAATTTGATACTCCTCCGCGAAGAGTATAGCCTAAGGCCAAATATTGTGTCTTTAACATAGTATGGTATTAGCAGAGATAATGAGGCGATGTTACGCTTACACAAGAGGTTCTTATACAGATACTTATTATAACAGATCCCAAAGGCATTGTTCAGCGTTCGTTGGCGGAAATTGGATCCAGAGATTGTAAACCGACATAGGATCCCTGACATATTATAATATTATACGTCTATTAAACATCTATGAAGTGATCAAATAACTTGCGATCGAATTTAATCTATAAACAATTAGAAATACCTTTTCCCCGTGACTTTTCTAATGTTATAGAGATTTTCCGGAAAT